GAAGATGCCGGTCACAGGTGCTGGCGAAACGTTAGGAAACAAAACTTCAAGAACACGGCCCGGAAGACCCACACCAGCCAACGCAGAAAAGTCCTTGTCATTTTCTGGGAAATAATGTGAAGGCCATTTTTCCTGTGTGTTTTCTCAATGTCTCCATCTTGCCTACAGCCCTGGAACTTGATAAGGCTTACTGCTGAGTCAATATGTACAGGATCGTGCATACTTCTGTTGTAACTTATTTGATAAATGAAAAAAGTCTTTCAATTGGCACATGAATGTATCACTCTCCTTCTAACCTGGAACTGTTGCACTGTGTTGAAAATGGATGTTGGTTGTGGGCTTTCTTGAGGGCTTTCCATCCAGTTCAGGTGGCGAACTGGAGAAGAAAATGTCCCAGTGTATTTGCACAGAATTTGACAGGAAAACATCTCAGTGAATTTGTACAGGAGAACCGGACAGAATAACTTAGTGAATTGTACAGAAAAACTAGCCAGGAGAATGTCCGAATGAATTTGTTCAGGAAAACTGGGACAGAAAAACATTTCATGGGAGAACATCTCAGTGGATTGCCCCAGTGAGCAAAATATCGCTGTATCTAAACTGCAAGCATATCCCTCTGATAAAATGTACTGTTTAAGGGGGGGAAAAGTTGGCTGGTTTCAGTAAGAGAATGAGGAGGAGCCATCATAATAAGGAGAAACATGATCACCAAGCTGGCTACCCTATTATCCACCCTGTACTGAAGTATGTAAGACCCAGAAATTACCATTGATGGTGAAAAGCTGTCAAGCCAGTTAAGGAGGAAGGGGAAAAAAAAGCAATATGCTTACAAAACAAAGGGAGACCCACAGAGATCAGTGGGCTATCATACATTTGCATCAACTTTAGGCTTTGAACGATACATTTCAACTGCCTCCTACATTTCTCACTGCCTATCTTAACGTAACATTCTGTAGGAGAGAAATAATGGCTACATAACCCCACCGAGAGCTTATAGGGAATTATCTAAAACATTGCCAATTCTCATTATGTGGCTCCAAATAAGAACAGATTTGTAGGATTTCTTTTCTCCTTCCTTAAAGCTCCAAATTTCATCTCTACTATTAATGAAAGAGTAATTCTTTATTAGTCAGCCTAGCAGGGAGGAAAGAATCATGACAGTCTTTTTCTTAGCAAACCACAGAACCACTCTTAAATTTCTCTCTGCTGAGAGCTTATGAGCTTTGTCAACTGCAGGAGACACATTACAGATTCAAACTTTCTGTTTTCAGAGGAAGGCCAACTTCGCTTTGTCTCCAAAAGGTAGGAGTAATCCAATATGAGGAATACTGATGGATGAATACAGCCCGTAATTTAACTTTTTTGAGAAGAAGTGATGACCAAAATACTACAATTTATGCGTCTAGAACATCTGGCTTAACTTCTGAAGTTGTATTTCTTTTTTTCCTTCTTTCTAACCCCTGCTTTTCATACTACAGTACCTTGCCTGACAAAGAAAATCTTGATAGCAAGAGGGGTATGGAAATTTTTGAGTCCTAATAAAAGTATGTCCATTATTACCGTTGTTTTCTTAATAAGACTCTTAAAAAAAGAAAAAGAAACAAAATATAACAACATTTATTGCCGCTGTTTTTTCCAAATTATGACTAAATTATAATTATCATCTGTTGCAATGTAAGACATTCAAATTTGATATTCTCTTTTGCACACATTTTTAAATGCAACATACTTTGCTCTCATTCTTTTATTCTTCATTCCTAGAATGCTGATCTATTTAGCTTGTGTAAAACAATGCAGAGGCAAAAAATATAGCAGCATCTTTGCATGCAGTTAATTACTCTAAAGGAGAATCCCCAATTAAGTGTGTCCTTCTTCCCATCCCTGCCAGAATCCCAAATCTTCCCCAGGACAAGCAAGATTACCTGCTGTGACTTCAGAATTATGCTAAGAAAATGTAGGGAGATTTTGATGAGTTTGATTTGTTTCCTTCTGTTATTTCTCTTGAGCTTTCAAAATGAGGTGAGGTGTCTGGTTACCAAGTACTCTCTTGGTCATTGCCCATCTCTACTTATTTTCTTTGGGGTGGGGGGCTGCCTAGGTGGGACCAGGGAGAAGTCAACATATCTTTATGTGATGGTGCAGGGCCACCAGCCTTAAAGGACGTCTGTCCACAGGTTAAGAAGCCCTCTTTAGATCCAGAGGATGTGGTTAAGTATCACCTAGTTACAAGATGGCCTCTTTGGTGGAGAAAGTGGCATCTTGCAGTGAAAGATATTCTTGGAAGACACCACTTATCTTGATCCTGTTCAGATGGGGTTCAAGACCAGCTTTGGGAAAGAATCAAGACTAGGGTCTGATAGATCACCTCCTGCAGGAAAAAGACTGTGAAAGCGCTTGATATCTCATGGTATGATATCTCTGTATGTTCAGGTCACTGGGTTACACTGGTTCTGTTCTTTCCTGCAGGGATGGTCTCCGAAGATAATATTTCGTGAAGGTGTCCCTACAGCCTGGCAATTGTGGAGTAAATAAGGCACTAAATCATCTCCACTGCTTTTCAACAGTTAGGTGAAACTGCTGGGCAAGTCGTTGGATTTTGGAACTAAATATTTTATTATGCTTTTATGGGAAAGATATTTATACTGTGGGATTCCTCTTTTAAGGGACACTGCCTGAACTCTTTTGATTGGGTGGTATAAAATTGCTGCAAACAAACAAAATGTAATTAAAATAAGCATGCAGTTGATGCTCATCTCTACTTGTCCATAACATCAGTATCAGCGAAGGTGCTGCATGTCCTGAACCAGGATCTGGATGCAATGATGGACGATGTGGGTTAATAAAGTGAATCACAAAAAATGCAGACCTGGCTGGTTCCTGGTTTCAAGAACTGGAGAATTTGCCTGTTCTCATTGGGGTTTACTTCAGGAGGAACAGTTATGTAATTTGGGGTGCTCCTAGAGTCATCCCTCTTATTGAAGTCCAATTAATCTCCATGGCTAGAAGGGTCTGCTGCCAGCTGCAGTCTGTATCCCAACTAGATCATTTTCTGAACATGATCAACCTAGCTCTAGTTATTCACAAGCTGCTAAGCTCAAACCTGGATTGCGGTAATGCACTCTCTGTAAAGCATCTCTTATGCTTGACCCAAAACCTAAAGCTAGTGCAGAAGGCAGGCATTAGGTAGCTAACTGGAGCACCAGGCTGTGCACATATTATATTTTTGTGAAAACAATTGCATCAGCTGCCACTTGGCTACCAAGCCACTTACAAGGGCCTAAACAACTTCAGGCCCAAATTTCGGTCAGATTGCTTTTCCCATTACAGATCATCAGGGGAAGTCTTGCAACATGAATCTAGAGCAGCTTAGTCCAGCTGCCAATGGATGGACCTTTTCTATGGTCCATTCTCTGGAACGTTCTCGCCACTGAAATTTAGGAGGCACCTGCTACGTCCTTTAGATGCATGTTGAAAAGTTATTTCTTCAGCCAAGCCTTCCCAGAATGAATATTAGAATCCTCCTCCTCCTCCTCCTTCTCTTCAATGGACAGTTTTGTTTTATTTTAATGCACTGTTCCTGGCTTTATTGTTAACCACTTCAAGATAATTTGGCACAGAAAGCAGTATGCAATGAAGAGCACACCTGAACCAAAATACAGAGTATTCTTGTACAACTAGCCTGTTGCTAGGACAGAAGACACCCATGAATGAAACCCGGAGCATATTTTCATCCACCCATTAAAAAGGATAAGCGGCTTAATTCACGAGACCACCACCCTGTTCAGGCTGAATTTTAAAGCAGTGACAGGTAATTGGATGTGCATGCAAACAGGACTACTTATCTGAGAGGACTCACCTCCCTGTGGGAAGAACTGAGAGTAAATCTCTTTGAAGGTCTCTTCATTAACAATCCCACTGGGACATTCCTAAAGAAAGTTGCAAAGATGCGTATGAATAACAAACCTATTCTCAAGCTGTCCAGGGGACTGCAAACTCAAACAATGTTTTCAGAAGCTTCAAAGGGTCAAAAGAAACAATTGCCTGCAAAAGGAATCAGAATCTACTCAACCACAGTTTCCTCTTATTTCCTGACTCAAAACTTGCTCACTGCAAGTAGAAATGTAAGCCTCGCATTTCTCTTCCTACACTGAAGCTGGGCGATTGACTGCAGTAACATAACCGGCCCACTGGCCACTGGTCCAAAGTACAAATGCAGTAATATAGACAGCCTACAAACCATCATTTTAATCATTTCAAGGAATTTAAAAGCCTGTCTTCCTATTTTCTGTTCCTTGGCTAATAAAATGGTCTTTTGTTGATGCTCCCTTGTGGTTGAATAAAACTTAGCAGTCGTTTAATGTTTTTTGGTTGTTCAATATAAATAAGAAATATGTAACTTAGGAAAAATTTCTCCAAACTTTAGGAATGGGATCAAAGAGTGAATGGGGCTGTCTTTACAGACATCACGGTATAGGAATAGTAAACATTGAAACATTTTTTCCCCACAGGCATCGCAGTACGCAGGTGCATCAAAGCATTTCAATGTACAGTATTTTAAGACGGTAATCATTCCAAAATCTCTTGCTGCTTTAAAGTTAGAGATCCATTTTCCCTAAGTGAAAAAGTGATTTATATCATTTAGACCAATTTGCTACTCTGTGCGGCAAACACATTATTTCATGACTGACCTGACTTTTGCATGTTCCAATCAAGCAAGGAAATGTGAGGAGGGGCAATACAGTGATCAGTTTAATGAAGATCTCTTGAGTAAAATGTAGCTTACCATTATTTATTGCCTTTCAGGATAATAATCTTCCCAAGGCACATTTGTAAAAAAATACTATAATTATTATTTGGTGGGGGGGGGGAATACAAATACAGACATCTTGAGAAACTTTCTCACTAAGGCTTCATGGTAGTTGTGGGGAGGGAAAAGTCACACCAATTCAGCTTTTATTGTGTCTTTGCCTGCCTGCCTTTCTCTCTCTTCCCACAGGACAGAGAAAAATCCAGTTCAAGAAGTCCAACTTGCTCTTTTTAAGATCTTCATATAATTTCTTGTAGTGTCCACTGCAAGGCCACTCTAACTGCACCACTGAACCTCAGTTTCCCACCCCCCAGGAAAAACCCATGGGAAACGGAAGAACATCTCTAACTCAGTCTTCTAACTTCAAAGCTCCTTCAGCAAACTTCAGAAACAAAACTCAAATTTTCTAAGTCCACACCCATACATGGGGCAGCCTCACCATCTGTGTGGCCATCTCCTCCTACTCCCACCCCCAAAACACTGTAAGTGTTGCCCAATACCGTCTGGCGAATTCTGGGAGTTGAAGTCCATACATTTTAAAGTTGCTGAGATTGAGAAACACTGCTCTACATGAATGTTGGTCCCTACTCAGGACATGATTCTACGCTTCCAAATCCAATTCCATTTTTTTTTTCCTGAGAATTCCAGGAAATATGTACCATAGTGCATCTACTTAATGACTGTTCTACTGGAATCACACAGAACATATTCACAAGAGTATTTTGGGCTTTATATTTCACAACGCTTGTCTCTTCATTCATTTTCCACTCGGGAGCAGAAGGAAGAGTCCACACAGGAAAGAGGGAGACACGGCATCGCAATCTAAGCCTACCCCTTTTGTATACTCTGTCTGCCATCTTGTTTATTTTCACACCCAGAGACACACACAGATGTTGCTCCTCTGGAATGCTATCTCCCAATATCAATTCTCTATCTAAGGAATTTTATTAATAATTAGATTTTCCAGAGGTTTCTATTTTCTATAAAAGCAGAGACACAAAACAGCAAAATGATCACCAAAGCAGTTATGATACTTAAAAAAAAATAAAGCAGGTTTTTAAGCATTATTTTTGTCCCCCAAGTTTCTATTTTTACCCTGTCTGCAGGGTAAGGACAGAAGACTCTAACTAGCCTAATTATACAACTAGTACTACAAAAATAAATACATCAAAGTTCAAAATCACTTCATTCTAGCTAATGGTATTGCTTCTAGTCACAGCCTCTGTTATGGGATCATGACCTTCCAAGCTAGTATAGGAATTCATCTTTTAAAAATAGAAAGCTAACAGTAAAAAGGGGGAAGACAAATGTGAATGTACTTTAAAATCTGTTGCTCAAAGCTATCTAATGACAGATCTATGTTTTTGACAGCAACACCAGCAAATTCTGAATATTTTTCTCATTTTTACTTGTTAGCACCTATGATGTTTAAACAGTATAAGCCTTTGCTTTGCATATTAATTGAAAAAAACCTGAAATTCCAAATGGTTAGCATCAAACCTTTATTGCATGCCTTAACAATCTATGGAGTATTTTTTTTTTCACTGAGGAATGTCAACTCTTTTAACATCAATAAAATGAACACAACTATATTTTAACATTATCAAAAGAATTCCTAATCTGATTTCATATTTTAGATAACTTACAATTTAATTAGAAATGTTATTACTACCAGTAATCCTTGTTTAGTGACCACAATTGGGACCAGCAACTCAGTTGTTAAGCGAAGTGGTCATTACATGAAACTGCGACTGCGTTTATGATTTGACTTCAACTTTTCTTTGCTTTACGGACCTGCGAAGGTCCTAAATGTGAGGATTGATCGCAAAGTTACTTTTTCATCACCGTTGTAATGACAGTCACTGTACAAGGCAGTCACTAAATGAGGACTAACTTTAGTTGATAGAGGAGAAAAGGCCATGTTGAGTATCTTCTTCCTACAGCACATTAGAACCAAATGACCTTCACAATATAGCTCTTTCCATTGTGAACCATTAAATAATCCCTAACAAATTAATCAGCTGCCTCTCAGCAGAAGAAGGAGCAATCCCAAAGAATCAGGGGTTAAACCAATTTTTGCATCTCACCTAAATACCCATCTATTCTCTTTTATCTCCAGATGGAGGGATTATTCTGCTTTTATTGCAGATCACTTTCTAGCATTCTTATGATTCCATACACAACATGATGGTGGTTCATTGCAAGCTTTTTCCTCTCCTACCCCTTTCCCCCACCCACCGGACTCTTTCAGATTCACTCACAGCGAATTAGGAACAATCATACTGATGAATTATCCAGTTACCTTAATTATAGCATTCATTTTGCAGAGGGCAACATTTTGGCAACTCAAATACAGTTTCAACTGCAATCATTTCATTGAAGTTTGAACTTAAAAAAAAAAGGCTTGTGGAGCAAATGAAGACTCATTATTTTATTAATTGAAATATAGCACTAATCTCAGTAGGAAAGAATTATGAACAGTCCATATTAAGGATTATTTGAGTATTAATGTTAAAGTCACTTTCTTGACAACTTCAGCTCCAAGTGCAAAATCCATTTTTGATTACTATCTCCAGCATGTGCAAAATATGCATTATATGTGATGCATATGATGTTGTGCTTTTGAAAAGATAGGCCATTCATCACCAGTTTTCTTCTCCCATTTTCTTTAATTAGTGTTCTTGATTCCATTATGCTGCATACCATTACAAAAATCAACCTCAATTATCTGTTATTATCAGGAGGGTGAGGTTAGAGCGCTATTAATTTAATCCCCTCGCTGTTTCCAGCAGAATTAACTCTTGTTATTGTTGCGCACATGCCTCAGCCAAATTTAAGAATTAATGAGTGCATGCACTGCTGGCAATAAGCCAAAAATAATTATTTAAGAGTAGTTGATGTGATATCTTAGAACTCATGGATACAGAATTGTTCAGCAAGAGAGAAGTGATTTAAATGCCCTCCATCCATCCTTGAATTGGCAGGAAATTAGCTTGGCATCTCTGTGGCTGGTTCTTCTTCTGCCTCACCTGTGTGTCTGTGCCCATCACTGCAATTCCTTGTCTCCCCACCAAGAAAATGGGTGACAAAACCTAACACATTTGTGGTGACTTGAGCCTGCCCTTGGGTGGTGTCAGTATAAAGGAGGAAAGATGAGGTTACTCCAGCACAAATAAAGGGATTCAAGCTTGGCTGAATGAGGAAGCGACGTCATGGGGACAGGGCAGAAAAAGCAGGTTGTGCCATAGTTGGGAAAACCTTTTTCTCTCTTTCTCCATGCTTATTCTCTCCTGATCCAATTATCAGACAGTGACACTGACACATTCCCTCCCTCCCTCCCTCCCTCCCTCCCTCCCTCC